TTTCACACGTCCTTGGAGAAGCATTCTAAACTATTGTGATTAGATAAACATAAATTACTTTATAATATCCAAAATGTTAAATTTTAAGTATTTATAATACAGTGGAAAGTATGTTTTTTACACAGAAAGGCGCATATTTTCTTGTTTCAAATAAAAGGAGATGACTATGATTAACAGAGACAATCAACCAAAACTTGTTAAGAAAAGGTTAATATTTCAATTTTTATTATATTTTTGTGTCATATCCAAACATAAATACGTTATAAGAAATTACTATATACATGTTTATAGTGATTATATGTCTATAATGTACAGAATGGAATTTAGCATGATTTCAAACTGACTGTATATGGGTGATTGAGTCTCTTTAGACATAGAATTGAATTGAAGATGTTATCTCTACAATACCATTATAGTGAATTATAATACGTATATGTGTATGTATGAAGTTATTAATTATTATTTCTGTTATTCAAGCGTTTTCTAAAGCACAACCATAAACCAAGAAAAAACACTGTTCAACAGGATATTAACCAGAATGACATAAAATCATTAATTATATTTAAAACTTTTAGATAATCGATTATTTTATTATATAAACGATAACGTTTTATGTCAGCCTTTGCGATTTTAAATATATATGTATATATGCATAAATGCAAACTCCTTAAATTTAAGAATTTAATGTAAAAATTTTTATGCAAAAAGTTATATAAAAAAGTTGTCGGTCAAACTATATAATTATAAGTAAGTTTTAAGTAATAAAAAAAGTTTACAATATTGAATAAATTTACGAGAAATCAAAATATTCCTTGTATTAATCTTCGGCATTTCTTGATATATACCTGTGTCTTATTGATATACCTTATCCGCCAACCATGTTTTACAGTCGTACAGTAATACCGATTTTACGTAAGCACTGAGTATTCACGGTTCACAATCGGGCCAACCCCATCCTTGCTTTCAACAATCTTTGGTCTATGTCTTATGTCATTTCTTCATCAGACGAATTGCACGATTTCAGTTTGGCTGTTGGCTAGTTGAAAGGGTTTATTATGCATTATATTTAATCTGCAGACAGCCATAACCTGTATAGGATGTTAACTTCGGTCTGCATAATGGCATATGAATGAGCTAGGAGGCAGCTATTGTGTGCATACTGAAGATCCTCCAGCCTCTATAGTATTCCAGACGGCTTAATGTTTAACTATGTCGAATGCTCGTTCGAAATCGACAAAGGTGCAGTAAACGAGACTTTTCCACTAATTACACTGTTCTAGGATAATTCTGAGTATATTAGAGTGGTTTATACAGCCTGTTCTTCTCCGAATACTTTCTTTTTCTTTTCGGCTCAATTCTACTCATGACAACCAACGCAAGCACTTTACGAATCGTGTTGAAAAGGATGATACTCCCCCAATTCGAACATTCTTGAAGACTGTTTTCTTTGCCAGTTTTGTAAGTATTCCTTTAGTAGTATATCTTTCTATTTGTTATCTTTTTTTGGCCAAATCTTCTCTATCTGGCATCCCGTTCGCACTTGCGATATTTTTGTCTTCCAATATCGTAAATCGTAATTGCGTCCTTTAGTTCTTTCTGCGATAGAAGTTTGGTGTTAAAGTGGCTGTTATTGTTGTAATCTTCTGACTCTATTTCGGAAATCTCTTGATCCAAGTACTTAATGCTAATACGACCTGTATACACACTTGTCTGTATATATGTTGTATGTTATTTGCATTTATATTTCTTGTTTCTTCTGTTATTTTTGATTTAAATTCCCGCCTTTATATGTGTTGTTTAGTTTGTAATTTTAAATACTTTTCTTTATTGTGCATGTAATCTGCGACCATCACGTGATCACGGTGTATGCCAGCTCCCCTTCATGTTCTGCAGTTAAGAAGCGAGTTTCTTCACCTTCGGTTCATATATATGTAATCCATTTGGTTTTTAATTCTGCCGTCTCGTAACATCTATCCGTTCTCCGTTGTTTTTATGGACACTCATCCCGTGTACATACAAAAACAAAATTCACTGCAGTTGCCTGAATATCTTCAATTTTTGCGTTAATCGCCCACTACAATGCATACACCCACTAATGGTGTCGTACCATGTTAACGGTATTTGAAAGTAAATTTCGTTTTTGTATCTTCGCTTTTGGTGTCTGTGGTGGAATAGTACTGCATAAATATGATGTTTCTTTTTCTTTTTGTGTATACCCTGATTGTTATTATTCTATAGGATATAGCCATGCTTTCATATATAAAGTTTATTCGCTTTCATCTTAGACTTATCTTATTATCATATGCTCTGTTATTAAAATTATTATTGAAAAATTATCATTTCATTAAAATCCCTATAATTGGCTCATGGAAAAAATTAGTTTACAATAAATAAAGGATGACATATTTTAAAAAATACACACGAATCTATGTACATAGTTAAATTAACAATTAAATTACATAAATTATGCAACATTGGAAAATGTTGCACATGTAAAAGGTGCACTTATTCTATTGAACATGTTTTTTTAAAATAACATTTTATTAAAAAAATTATCATTTCACTTTTATTTCACATACATATAATATGTAATAAAAAATGTAATTTTACATTTACTGCATTTCTAAAAAGAAATATACATAAAATTATTGTCACACAAGTTCCAAATGACCCTCTTTATTTTAAAATATTACAAAATAGAGCCTGTATATGCATAAATAAAGTAGTTTTTCTATTGACCAGACAATTAGCAATATTTTACGAGTATGTTGTGAGGCAATTTTTACTTTTATTTTATTAATATTATTAAGAATCTCCTTTTTAGCCATTATACCATAATTCTGCCATGACAGTTTGTTTTTTTTTGTATTATTTCACTCTTTCTAAAGAAATTTCTTGCAATTTTCATTATAAAAACAATTTGTATATAATCGCAATGAAAGCGATTGACATGTTAAAGACATTCAGTCTAAAATTTTATTTGAAAGAAAATTAAGAGGTTTAACATTATATTAGACAAAAATTAATGTGTCTTAACATTTAATTTGTACGTCATTCTGGCATATGTCATTGAAAAATTACAGGCTTCTCATATAAAAATAAAGAAAAAATTGTAGAAATGTACTTGCGTTATTAATAAAATAGTCGCGTAAATATTTTTAAATCTTTTCTATTACAAGTAGAAGCTAGCTGCAAATTATGGTGAATTAATTAAACTAGTTCTTAAACTGTAAATGAAAAATAATTAGCTTTTGAAGGGAAATTTTAATGAAATTTAATATCTTTAGCTTAGATGTCCTGATACGGCACTTCCGTACCTTCCTTCACAGAATATAGGCACAAAAAAAAGATAAAGCAAAACTAATGGTTGGTCAGTTTGATTAGTTTTAAATTCTGATGTGTTATAGATTAGGCTAAAGTCCTCCACTATTGATCTGACGGCGGTTTGGGTTCACCTATCTTTGTCTGTCGACGTTTTTTAACATCTGTAAAAAAAAAAAAAAAAAAAAAAAATATGATAATGATGCTATTTAATTAAATGCAAGGTGGAATTTTTAAATTTATAACAGATCAGGGCGTTTAATTTGTGCAAATTTACTTACTTAGGGTACTTTCGTAAACCTAAATACTAATTGGCAGGCTACTGCTCCACTACTAGATGCTTATTGAAAACGGTCTTCTTATATAGTATTTGCCACATATGCTACATAGTTCTTTAAGATCATAATTTAAATCTCTGTAATATTTTGCTTAAACCTAATTTTCTAAATTCCGCCCTTTGTTAAGGAAAAACCTTCAAGAAAATATTTAAAAATTTTCTAAATGAATTCAAGCAGAACAATAAATTCTTTAATTGTAGCTAAAATTTTCTTTTAAAAATAATTCTTGAACCGTTCATATACCTTTTACAGGAGACATTCAAATATTTTTTGCCAAAAGTTTTGTTTAAAAAGGAAAAAACTAAAAGAACCCAATCAAAATAGGTTTGTGTTTTTTTTTATTCAATAATTTTTAGAGTTTGTGAAAAATTTCGATAAAAAATTTTTTACATATGGTTAGTTAATTTTGTATATTTTCAATAAACTTCCATTTTAAGGGGCGAGAAAATTAAATTTAAAAAATTTTAAGCATGAAACATTTTCTTAACCTACCTTTTTGAGATTTGATTATCTCTTTTGATCCTTTTTTTTTGTTGGTTGTGCCATAGGAATGTAACACGTTATCCTAAATAAATTATTTTTACATTGAAGACCTATTTTTCATTTTTATCTTTTCTTTTTGGTTTCGATTTTGGAAAATTGATTGCGAATTCCAAAATTTTAGGCTATTCTCTCTCTCACAAATGAATTCTATATTTATTTTAAAATTTTGGCAAAAGTTTTGTAGTTTTTATACCCTACACTATTTGCAGGAGTTGTCTGTGGTATATATTCTTGCTTAGCGTAAAATTCTATTTTAATTTGGATAGGTCCGTCCGCCCGACCGTCCGATTATACGATAACTCATTAAACAAACACCACTTTACATACACAAATTGCTTTTTTTTCTGAAAAGAACGAACAGTATTGTAGCTGAACCAATTCGAACAACGGGTTTGGATAGCTGCCATACAATTTCAGAAGTTAATATTAAATATTCGCAAATAATACAGTTAGATCCATATGTTTCCAATTATAGGTCAGATAAATCTGTGAAGTTTTCTTATGGAATGTAAGCATCATGTTGCATGCTTTTAACCATGAACACTAATTTTAACTATTTCAAAAACTAGTTTTTATTATCAGATTGTCAAGGTACAGGGTATAATTCAGTCATGTTTTCACTAGTTTTTTTGTTTTGTAGCTAAAAGGAATCCTATATTTAAATAAAAAAAGAAAGTAATGAGGTGCATAATGAGAAAATTTTGCTTTTTTTGTTTTTTTTCTATTTCTAGGTTATGGCCTCGAATATTTAGATGTAGCTAATTCAAAAAAAAAAAAATTGCAAACTAAATTGATCGTCCGTAATAAATTTTCTCTATCTGAAAAATATATGAAAAATGTTACATGGAATATAAAAAAAATTGAAAAATTACCTTAGAACCTTATTTATCGAAAATATCGAAATTTAAATTCCTTTTCCTTTGGTTGTTGGCTTTGAGCTACAAGTATATATAAAATACTTTTAAATTCATTAAATTTAGATTATTTTAAAATAATTTGAAATAAATTTGCAATAAAGTATTATAAAAACCATAATCTATTTTTATGTCTGCAATCAAGATTAAAATTGAGATAATGTAGACGGTATAGGTAACCTCCCACATATGGTCATTTACATATTGAAGAATTGTTGTGAATATTGCTCCATATAGTTTAATAAGTAATCTTTTAATAATTTTTCAGATATTCTACAAAGAATTTTTGTTATACATATGCACAAATAAATCTGATGAATTAGTAATTTTATAAGAGAATTTTTGTGAATTTGAATTACTGAATTATAGTGCCTCATATAGATGTATATAGATGTGATGAATATCATGGGAGATATTTCCAATTTTGAAATATTTTGAAAATTATAAAATTTTGTTTTATCCCATCCTGGTGTACTTAAAAAATTTATTTACATTCTTGCCTTGGCTGCCATGTGGAGGGCGAATTAGAAAATATTTTCGTAAGACATCGTTGTGGAATCTGATCGTTCCTGAACACTTCCAATGATGTTTAGATATTTAATCCAAGATCATTGCAGATTCGTGGTCATGGAGATCATCAACTTTTTTATAATTAAATTGAAATGCACTTGGAAGAAACTATTGTCATCATCATTAAAGCTTTTCTTTCTTTTTAAATAAGTGTTAAAAATTATGGAGGGACAAAGATAAGCAGCCTTGAATTGTTTTCAGACCAATTAATAGTGTTTACAAAAGTGCTGGCTCAACACTTTACGATAAATCAAAAGATCTCGTTTATTTAGGTTTTCCCGTCCTAATCCCTTGTATGTTACTTGGCGCAGCTCCTTATTTTATCAGTTACTTCGGAAACACCCAAATCCCTACTACCAAAGAATACCGAACATATTGCCAAGGACCTTGTCCTGGAAAGTTTGTATTAGTTTTATATGTGTTTGCTTGGCATAGTTTCATAGCTGCATACCATATGTCCGTAACAGGCTTTACTGTTTGGCTACTTTGTTAACATATTCAGCACTTTTTTAATATTTTCAGAGTTTTAATAGCGTTTTCAATTTTTAACTGATTGCTGGCCTTAATTTTTCTAAGATAAAATCGTTTCAAATGTTGCACTTAATATCTTTGTATCACAATATTATTCTTTTATAGTCGTATGTCCATAACAGTTGAAACTAAAATAACAGAAAAATATCATAAGAAGTATTTAAAAAAAATATACCTGTAATTAAATTTCAACTTCTGTCTGAAAAATAAAATCGAATATTGTTGACAAAGTGATTGAAAATATTACCAATTCTTTTTTGTTTTTAAGCATGTGCTACGGCACATACTATATATTTAAAACAAATAGCAATCTACTACATATATCACCTTCTAATAATTTATCCAAGAAATCAATAAATGATAATAAACCTAGTTGGAGTGTGCCTATATACATAAATATATACCAAGAGTAATATTGCATGAATTCTAACTATATTTTAAAACTGGTCAAAATTTGATAGAAAACGTAATGATTTGGGATGATCCGTTTATTAATAACAAGTTGTATATTATACATAGAGGCATATGCAGACTAGTCTCTTAACACGAATCCTAAATTTCCAATTTATTTCATAGAAATAAAAAACAGAAAAACAAAATTAAATAATGATAAGATATTAACAGTGTTATAGACTTTTTTTTTCCAAATGTGGTTATCCACATCGATATACTCTCACACTACTATTATAACGTATGTATATTGATATATGAATGGAGCGTCTATGGATGGAGTATCTATCGAATTTTTTTCATCTCCTGGGAAGATAATATGAGTATAATAGAATCGAGATATCGCTGAATATCCCATCAGGATATTCAACAGTATGGAGTAAAAACTATAAGTAAGCAAGGATATTCAATCGAATAGTATATGCTCACATTAAATAAAATCTAGTCTATTAATTTACTTTTAACACAAAATAAAAAAAAAAACTATATTGAATCCAATATAAAATCATAATATCTTGGTGAGATTTAGTAAATTAAAGTCATTAATTTAGTAGGCGCGATTAATGTTTCAATATAAAGAGAATTTTTACATTTTTATTTTTTAGAAAAATATTAAAGGTGCTGATTAATTTAAGAGGCAATATCCGAATGAGTAAAGTAGGTTACGCTTAAAAATGTGATAATGCTATAGAAGATTAGAATTTCATATTGTCAATATGAAATAAATTTTTTAAAAGATCTAGAGCGGATATCTCCAATATTTTGAATATATAATGGCGCCCAAAACATGTGAATATTAAGTTTATGTGCATATACATGTATGTATCTACAAATATAAATCAGAGACTAAATTTTAATTTGAACTAACAGGTTTTAAAGAACTTTTACAATTTTCAATTTCATTCAATTACCTGACCGTGTTACAAAAAAATTATGAGGCGGCAGAATGAAGTTTCTTTTTCTACATCGCAAAATCTGTCTGATTTTCCCATATCAGGAATGCCACTGTATTGTATTAAGTCGGGCCGTTCTCCTGATGTAGTGGAATCCAAACTGCAAACTGGAAAGTGTTGACGTCTTTGTCGTTCTGGCTAGGTGTAACGAGGTAACTTTTATGTGGATCCCAGTAGGTTTTCTTGATCGGAAATGAGAAAGTTGATGGTTTCGCCTGGAGGGAAGCGACAACTCCTTTTATTAGACCGGAACCATTCTTTTATGTGCCAATGATAACGGTCCTGCTAAAAATGACTTGGAGGAGCAGGCCATACAGATATACGGGGCAATCCTGCTATGTATCGTGGTTGTATTATTGTTATAAAGAGCCTATAGAGCCGACGTGTTAATTTGTAAATTTAATATATCAGTACCATTACTTTCATATTTTTTTTAAATTCGAAAAGATCAATGCTTCTTCATATATTTGCAATCTTATGCGTTCCAGTAAAATATTAAATTTATAAAATTTAAAATTTTATTTCAAAGTAAAAGACTCTTCTGTAGACACTGGGAAAATTTAAGTTCTGAAATAATTGGATAAAATACATAGTAAGTTATTAAAATTGAATGGAGAAGATTGATTGTATTGTACGTTCCAAATTTTTTTTTATATTTATACGAACTTCAGTATAAATATAAAAAAAAAATATTTTTTCCAAAAATTAGAAGCAAAACTCAAACAATCTAAAACAAAACATTAACAAAAAATGAAAAAAAATTGATGGATCCCAGGTCATTCACATCCCTGGTCATACCCATTTTATTATCAATTCTTAAATAATTGATAAGTTTACATTTGTCTTGTCTAATTGAATAATTTGATACAATGGACCCCTCGGCATTTTTTTCAATTTATATTTTTGTTTATAAATGTTTTGTGTTGTTTGAGAACATTATACTTTATATTATTTGCTACATTATGTACAACATTATATATAACTTCTATTACAGACACTCTTACATATATTATGTAGTATGCATTATAAATTATACGGATACACGTTATAAATTATCATGCGTTGTCGGATGGTAATTATTTTATGTACGTTGCTTTTTCTTAATTAAACACAATTTAAATTGAAAAGGACATAAGTAAACAATTTAATACATAATGCAATAATAAATTATTAATAAACACACATGATATGTACCTAAAGTATGTAAATAAATACAACATGCACAGGACGTGAAAAATATGACATTGAAAAATTTTTGAAGAGCAATTGTACAATTATTTATTTAGAGTTGGCAAGATAGGAAATTTAAAAATTATAATATTTTAAATATATTAAAAAATATTAAAAGTATGTGGGATTGTGGTCTCATAATGTTTTCACATTATGTCAAAACTGCCATAAGTTAAGGTTTATAATAAGCTATAAGTTAAGTCAAAATATCAGAATTGTGATCGAGTGTCAAACTGCAATTTGAATTTAAACTCACCCTGGTTGTAAGCCTAAATAAACATATCAGCGATTTATCTCCGGGAACTAATATGGCAACCTAATTGAAATGTTTTGTGTTAATAATGTGTAGTCTTGCTGCGTCCCAAGTTCACCAATGAATCAAATGTTCTCGATATGGGAGAAGTTCTTGTTCCATTAATTCTTTCAAAGTGAACTTTATCAGTGTCTTTTATTGTGTGTAAATTATCGTATATAAATTTTCTCATGCGACCAGTAAATCTATATACATTCAATTCATCATTCGATCTAAAAATCCTGTTAAAAATAAAAAATGTTTTAATATTCTTAAAGTAAATTTAAGTTAAAAATGAATATTTTTTGTATGTATGTTTAAAATTAATTGAAAATATTAAACAATTTAGAAATATTTTTATTTTTTATTTTATTATATACAAAATTAATTTAATTTTTATTGTTAGTCTTTTATTTGTCGTTAACAATTTTTGATAAATTTTATTTTTATAATTTTCAATTGTTAAAAAATTGTTATCTTCAAGGATTCCACTTGAGTTCCACTTAATTTTTTCTGTTTTTATTATTTAATTTTATTATCTAAAAATGTTTTTCTAATAAAAATCAACTTATACTAGAGTGTAGCCCCGCAAATTTTATCTTTTCAAAAGTTCTAATGTCTTAAAAAAAATGTTATTGTACAAGAGAAAAAAAAATCCGGAGAAAGCTGGGAAAAAAATGTTTTCCCATTTTTTTTCCTTTTTTTTTTACTATAATTTATCATCATATAGTTAAGCTAAATCAGCTTGTTTTTGTACTCATTTGAAATTTTCTTTCTTCTATAAAAGAAAATTTTAATTCATTTTTCAAAAAAAAAAAAACAAGCAAAAATTAAAAAATTCTAATATTTTATTGTTGTTACTCCCCTTCTTTTAACCGACCGTATTGCACACAATAAGGGAGATTGTGTAATGGCACTAAATTTTACATCAAGATTTTGCGGTCTATTTAAAAGCCCTCTGCATAGTAGGGATTTTGAATAAACTATTTTTATCAAGATATTGGTTTTTGTGTGCACGAGTGTATTTGTGGTTCTGCTGAAATTTTAAATGTTGATTTATTTTGGATATGTCCCAGATTAATCCACTTTTGATTCCATATGAGACCTTGAGAACTCGGGTCTAATTTATATTTTTCGGCATATAAAGAGAAATAATCAAAC